CCTACTCTAACCCTTCAGAGATAGTTGTTTCCTTTTCCATAGTTGTTTATTTCATGGATATATCTCTGTTTAACGGCATTTGGAACAGAGTACTATAGTTATTTGTTTACACACCTGTCTCCATCCTTAAAATGCAAGACTCTTGAGTGTCTCTGCAATGTCTCCAGTGCTATGTACATATCTTATATTTAATAAATGTTATTGATTATAAGCGTCATGAAAAGACATGACCCAAAAAATTATTCCTAGAATCTTAGGTTTTCTTATTAGAATAAAAGTGTTTTTAAGATAAAAAAGAAATTAAAAACTTAAAGCATCTCAGCCAAATATTCAAGGTTATATATATAAAAATAGACACAGCATACATTTCTGCTACATGGCACTACTCACATTAATATACTTACTTACTGCTTCTAGTAATTTGATCTTCCTCTTCCTACCTTTTAACCTTGTGTTTTTGCTTTCTACACAGTCTCTGCTGGGAATGTCATTCCCCACATCTTCATACTGAATCCCCTGCTGTGCTTGAAATGATACACCAAAGATCAAGCGCTTCTCTCTCACTTCTCAGCTGTCCTGGCCCTAGATCCAGACTATATTTAATCACAATTTTTAATTTTCTTCCTTAAAAATGTATTTTGTTTCCCAACCACAACTAGTTCATAAGCTTTCCAAAGTAAGGATCACGTCTAAATCACACTTGCATAATATGGGAAAAGGGAGTGAATGGGGGAGGAAGAGAGAAAGAGACAGAAACACAGAGAGAAAGAGAAAAGGAGACAGATAATAAATAAGCAGGGTAATATCTATTCTGCTTCTATTAAAGATCCCAGTAAACATTCATTGACTAAAGACAAATAAGAACACAAACATCTAATGTGACATTTGAGCATTTCAATCTCATCCTTCCCAAATAGTGTCTCATACTAAACTTTATGTAAATCTGACTCTTATATTTTGAAAAATGAAACAATGAAGTGGAAATGGTTATTTTAAAAAAGATAATAAAGGGAAAGTGTAGTTTATTGAACAAATGGTGTTAGGAAAACTGGATATCCACATCTAAAAGGATGAAATTGGACCCTTATTATGTATCACACACAAAAGTCAATTCAAAATGGATTATAGATCTAAACATAACACCTGAAACTGTAAAAGTGCTGGAAGAAAACATAGGGGAAAAGCTTCGTGACATTGATTTTGGCAGTGATTTCTTGAGTATGACACCAGAAGCTCAGGCAACAAAAGCAAAAATAGACAGGTGGGACTACATCAAACTTAAAAGCTTTGGCACAGCAAAGGAAGCAATCAACAGAATGAAAAGGCAACCTAAGGAATGGGAGAAAATATCTGCAAACCATGCATCTGATAAAGAGTTAATATCCTAAATACTTAAGTAGAACTCAATAGC